ATGATTTTGCTTGTGAAATTTCTTGTAGTAGTGAAATGTATCTATGTATGCATTACACTATGCAGGCCTTGCATTCTTTGCATCGAGTTGAAAGACATTAATTGGACCTTAGAAATCCTTGTACATTCATAACTTTAAAAATCCAGAAGTTGTTTTTGGACCCATTGTTAAGCTGACATGACTTCTCTCTTAGTCTTTCCACGATACCAATAAAAACTTCTTAGCATTTAATCATTTTATCGTTACTTGAGAAACTTTCATGTATGTATGTCTGCACTTTAGTCATTGCAACTTACTCTCATTTCAGGTAGCATAGGAGCTCCAAATATTAGAATTCCAAAGTTGTGTTTTGAGAAAGCAAGAAGAGTTGATAATCAAATCTGAAGAATGACAGAATTTGGCTAAGGCAAAGACCAATTCGATATGCTTCCCTGGTTAGACGCACAGAGAAGGCATTCAGCATAGGTTGTGGTCCAACTTTGGAAACCCAGGGTAAGTAATTTCTGCTAATAGAGGCCACTGTTTTTATTTTATTTTTATTCCCGGTGAACTATAATATCCAAGGTCTCTTATTACATAATTATGTCGAGTGGTAAATCCCATTTGATCTACTTCATTCACTGTGCAGCAAGGTATGGTGATATAGAAAGCCGAGACAGTAATCTATTATGCTTTCAATAATAGTTCTTCTGGTTCTTAAAGAAATGCATTACACACTGTGGCAGTCTCATGAGGACATATATAATACACCCCCTTACACGTTTTTTGATTTAGCGGAATTTTTTGAAATAGGGAAAATATATCTTCTTCCTGATTGTTGTTGCTCATTTTATTTGCTGACTTAGCTTACAGTAACCTCTGTCAAAGTTGGAAATGAAGTACCTACTGATTCAAGTGTTTAATTTTTTTCATATTTTGAAGTCTCTCCATTGTCTCTCTTTTTCTTTTTAAGTTCTATAAACGACAATGATTTGTTGAAATTCTCATAATTTATGACATTTCTTTCTTCATTTTCCATGCTATATATAATGCTTAAAAATCGGATATTAGGGTGAGAATCTTATTCATTACTTTAATTACTTAGCTTATATTTCACCCTTTTGTTTGCGGTCTTGCAGCTACTACAAATTTAGCAGATGACTCTGAAGAGACTAAAACGTCTGGTTTGACTAGCCAGCTTATTCCAATTCCATCTGGGTTGAGTTCATAATTGTTGTTTTAAATCATTAATGAAAGCAATGTATGTTTTGCAAAATCATTATTGGTATCCATTTTTTACCTTCAAATTAAAAATGTTTTTTACTGGTAGATTTTGAATATGTTAATATTTCATGATTTGGAATGTCTTCTATAAATGAACGAAAAATTATACATCGAGCTTATATTTTAGAAGTTTGTAGTTTACAGTCTCTAACTGCAGGTGGAATCTCTGGTTAGAACTGTATGCGATACGACTTCCGTTGTTGAGTTTGAACTGAAAGCAAGTGGATTTCATTCTTGTGCTATAAATAGCTTGACTAATGTGAATGTCTTTTCTAATTGAATTGTTCTGTTTTGAATCCAAGCAGTTGCAGATGTCGGAATTCATATATTATCAAATTCTTAGTCTTTCTTCTGTCTCGTGTTTAGCTCAGTGGATTTCGGCTATACATTGTGAGGGACTTAGACGGAAAAAACTGAACCTCCGCCTGCGATTGCAAGTCCTCCTGTCAGTGTCAGCACCAATAAAAATGTCGAAGCACCTGTGTCAAATGGAGCTGTTTCAACTTCTTTAGCTATCACCAAACCACTATCTTCTTCGGGGAGAATTGAATCGTTCCTTGATAAAGCTGCAGATGAAGGCTTGGTGATTCTTCAGTCTCCAATGGTGAGAATCCAAAATTTTAGATTCTTCCCTTTCTTTGAACTCATAGAACTAAGAAGACAAATTGTGCAGGTCGGTTTCTTCAGGAGATCACGAACCATAAAGGGGAAGCGTACACCACCATCGTGTAAGGAGGTAAATAGAATTTGTTTACACCTTGTTTTTCAAAGTGGTATCTTCAACAGACAAAACATTCATGAAACCATTATTTTGGAAGCCATCGTAGTCTAGTGTCCCATTGGTTCCATTGTACTCTTCAAATCTAAATTGTGCTTTTGTTTATGCAACAGAAGCAAATAGTAAAGGAAGGCCAGGTGCTTTGCTACATCGAACAACTAGGTAGTGAAATTTCGATCGAGGTATAAATCTCAGTTCCGATTAAACTTGTCTTTTTGCTAACGTTTCTTGTATCCTTAAGTTTATATGGTCGATCAACCCGGATTTTATTTCTAACTCCGATCATTCTCTTACAGTCTGATGCATCTAGGGAGGTCATAAAAATTCTAAGGGAGGACGGTGGTATGTCTTTGCCATCTTTCAATATATTTCAACCTGAGGCATTTTACGGTGCCGCGTGATCAGTTATTCTAACGTTCTTTACTTAATACGACAGATTCCGTCGGATATGGTAATGCTCTTATCGCTCTTCTCCCTTCTTTTCCCGGGATAAAGAAGCTGCAGCAGTGATTTGCTGGTTATCCACTGGTTTGTGCCAGAAGTAAGCTGTGTGCTCTTTATTGTCTTTAAAAGAATGAATACTCCTACCTCTTTGCATTTCAGTACATGAGGATTATGTTGCTGATAAAAATATTTGTAGTCTTGAAATTGGTTTTTTTTTTTACGTTTTAGTATTGAAATGTGGAACTTTTGAACATCATTGGGAATCTGCTATTGAAGTTCTGGCATTTTTATTCATAATATCTTCCTACTGTTTGATTACAGCATAATGGTTTTCTATTTTAAAGAAATGATTTTGAGAAATAACTTTAAATAAGACGAAAAGTATTGTTAATCTTTTTAAAAAGGAAATATCTGCTGAAGACAACATTACATCCTACAGGGTACTATTGTAAATAAGATGAGATAAATTATAAATTATTTGAGTTTGATTTGACTCATTTACAACCCTAAGTAGGGGCCAAAAAGCATTGAGGGTGTGCAATAGCTAGCCACCAACATCAGACAAAAAAAGGCATCCCAATTCCTAGCCCTCATGGAAGAGCAACATTCAAACTCAGCAATAATAAAGAGCGATAAAGGGTCAAAGCATTCAAAGACCAGTGAACAACATAACCACACTACCACTGCAATTAGAGGTGATCAAGACTCGACTTGGAAAATTTTAATTTTTTGACTCGACGTTAAAATTTTGACTTAATTTAACTCGACTCATAATTTCATAAACTTGATTTGGCTAGAAAAAATTTTTAAATTCAAATCAAGTTATAAAATAGAACTTGAATAGCTTGAATTTTGTAATAATTTGTGAATTGTTTATTAAGTTTGTGTCAAGTTCAACTTTACATGATATATATACATGTCTATCGCATATGGTTATAAAAAAATTGTTTAAGTTCAAAACAAATAGTATGATAATATTATTAACATTTGCGATTAAATTAAAAGTACATGTAATAAATTGCCTGAAAATGGAAGAAATGGTCAATGAGGTAAAACTGAAGATGGTGGCAAAACTATCCTCTCTTTATTTATAGCATCTTTCTAGCAGAACTGAAGAGCATTTCCAGGGATGCACTGTCATTCCCTTGTATGAAGAACATTCATGTCTATGGCTATGCATGCCCAAACCTGAGACTTCCATTCAAATCCATCAGTGCAAAGACAAACAAGATCAAAATACACGGAAAGGTAAGGCTGTGGAAAGAGCCGCATTGGAAGGATGAATCTACTCGAAATGCTTTCTTTCCTTCCCTGTTTAACTGCACAAGTAATCTTACCTTCACCTTTGTCGTTGTTCTTTGATTCACCCTGCACGTTTGCTTTCAGAAAGTAACCTTTTTTATCCTCCGACATTGTTGATTTGGTTGTCTGAACAAGAGAACCCTCAGCAAGAAGAATCACCCATTGTTCCAAGTCAGCAGATTGTCGAAGTCATTAGGCCATGAGTGTGAGAGGGCATTACAATACAATAAGCTACTGATTTCTCAAGGAAAAAAGCTTTTACTTGGTAGATTTTCAACAAAAGGTCCGTATTCAACACTGGATAGCAAAAAACAAAATGAATACAATTCGGTGGCACTTGCAAGTTTCTATCAAACATCTCTACATAAAAAGTTCGAAATGAAACCTGATATGCAAGTATAAGATTCTAAATTCCAAAGGCAGCATCAGCTTCTGGAAACCGAAATCCATATCCGAAAACTAATGAAACCTGTTGACAGGATCTTTACCCATGAAAAGATTAAGCTTTATTGTGAACTATAATCCCTGCAAAGCAAATCAGTCCCCAAGAAAAATAAAACTACACTAACAAAGAAAATCAATTACGATTCTTTTTCTATATTTGGGGCATAGAAGTAAACAGGCACTAACACGTTAGGGGGACGAATTTATAAAATTCTGAAGATTTTCTCCTTTAGAGATGGAGCAGCAGTGGGAAAGAATCCTTGTGCTGCTAAGTATATGGATCCTCTATCTAGCATTCAATGTACTGTTGATTCCGGTTAAATTTAAGGTGGAAAAAAGCATAAGTTTTCCTTAAAAAGAACAGTAATAATAAAGTGAAGTTATAAAGTACAGAAAGGAAAGAGGGTAATCACAAGTTTACAAGATATTGAAACCCTAAAATAATCTCAAAGGTGCTCTAAAAATGCATCTTCTCAAATCACCAAAAAAGAAAAGAAACTATCAACGGCATCCAATTTCATTAAAAAAATTATGTTTTCCATTCCCTTTTCTAATGGTGGGCCTAATTGTTAGCTTTTGTTTCCTTTTTCTCAAGTGGTCTCAAAACTGATAAAACCACCAACTTTTGCTGTACAAACTCATATGCAGCAAGCTTGGATTTTGCCTTCATAACAGCTTGACTCTCCTTGCTTTGGAGCCATGGATCAGTTTTCTTACATCCTTTTTAATTGACAAAAAGGCACAAACTACAGCAACCATCAACGTCGGGAACATTCGGATAGATTCTGTGCGGAACATGCATTGAAATTGTCCCAGGATGTTTTCTCTAAGAAAGCCCCAGATGATAAGCATTGTCCCAAAGAGGCTCATCCTTCCTCGCCTTGACAGACCTACAAAAGCTCCCACCACAGACAAGTAGCTTCCTGCAACAATCTGATGTAGTCCAAATGTTGAAATATTAGTGCTTATCTAACTGCAGATTAATCGAAGCAATGCATACGAGTCATAAACCAACCTCAAGGCGCTGGAGATCGGATACTGCAGTCGATTTCCTTGAACTGGGGGAGTTATATAAGCTGAGCAATTTGCTGTAACTTGGAAGAGTTTTGTTCTTTATAACGCCATTGACAATTGCCCCTGGATATAGAAGGACCTTAACTACATGTGTAGGGAAGAGTTCAGTGGCAATCAACTGGGAGGATGTTATCTCAATGGGAGTTCTGCAGATTCCAAATCTACATTGTACCCTGTAAAGTTAGAACATAAATGTCAACAAATACTTTGGGTTGGGGAATATTTTGACAAAATCCCAAACATATTTTATCAGCATGCAAGAAGAGCAAACAAAGTTAAAATATCAGAGCTCCTAGCAATATGTATAAGCAAAAGAACACAATTGGTGAAGTAAACTTTCCAGATGGCATGGAACGTTCAGATTCTATGAAATGCCTTTTAGAAAGGGAACCTTTTTTATGTTTTTACATTCTGGGAAAGTATAGAAACCACCAATGCATCATTGTAAAAGGTGGAAACAAACAGGTGGGGGTGAAAAGTGACAAACTTACCTGAAAAGAGGGATTTGGAAGATTATGAGGAGGAAATACATGAGAGAAGCAATGGAGGAAATGGAGGTTGCCCGTTTCTTTGAAGAAGCCATTGGAAACATTCAGAAAGGTCTCCCGCGAAATGGGAAGGAAAAAGAAAAGAAAAGAAAAGAACAAAAATTGCAGGGAGGAAATAGGGGAGATCTTGAGATGGTAGGAAGCAAATGAAAATTAATGTGGTAAAACTTCTATTTTTTGAAGGGGTGGAAATCATGGGGTCATTTTGTTCACACACTCTTACATTTCCATTTTGCTGTACATTTGGTCTCCATTTCAATGTCATTAAATCCAGAAAGTCAACATGTATGGGCACATTTACACTAGAAATGATAATTTTAGACAAAATTACATGAATGAAAAATTATAACAATATATTAACATGTAAGATACTAATTCAAAATATATTCTAAAATCCATCAAGTAATTTTAATGGTTAAATGAAGTTTTTTTTTCTTTTTAAAAATCCCAAATTTAGGGTGTGTATTCATTATCAATAATTAAGAAAGATTTTTAAAAAATACAATCATATAATCATCCAAATTATTTAAAAAATGTATATTAGACATTTTTTTTTAAATCATAAAAAATCGCTTTCATATATTTGAATTTAGATATATCTATGACACCTAATCTCACAATTACAATAATGGATGACAGCTGCATCATAAATTTTAACGTCAGTGGCTATCCATGTTAGTGTTGGCCCTCAAAACCATCATTTATGAATACAAGTTGTAGAGTTTTGGATAAAGAGTTTAGGGCTATCCAGAATTAATTTCACATTGCTTAAAAAGCTTCCAACAGCATTAAACAACTCCTTTAACAATTCTTGTTGCCTTTTGGCAAAGGAATGTTTATGCTCACGAGCTATTCAAGTCAGGCATTAAGATACTTGAAGTCAATTCACTCGATAAGTAACATATCTCTAGCTCGAGCTAGTTGAAGGCTGCAAGACAATGACAACCAACTGGTATTGGATGCTATGCAGGATCTCAGAGAACCAAATTTCAGGAAAATGATTGCACAAAATCCATCGTAAGAACAAAATTGAAAGAGATTTGAATCTTCCTTGGCTTACTCTGGAGGAGAACCCTGTATTAAAACAGTTTCAATGATGAGATTCCGCAGCTGGTAAAGATGGTGCAGTTGCAGTGCCAAATTGCAGTTTGCAAAGCAGCAGGATAAAAGATAATAAAACTTGTTTCCTGGTAGTCTTTCTAGTTATGATTAAAACCAATTGCCATGAAAGAATCTACATAACTTCATTGATACCATCTACAAGGGGGGAAAAGTCAAGTTGTTTCCTTTTTCTTATTCTTGTTCAAGTTGTATCAGTCTTGCCAAGAGCTATAATGCACATACAAAGAATGAAAAACAAGTCTGGTAATGGGATAATACTTTAGTGGCAGCTGAATAGATATAAAAGCATGAAACATCTTTATCTGAGAGAAGGGGGAGAAGACATCATTGATGTACCCCTTCCAGGTTCAGCCTGTCAACTCCTCCATTAAACCCTGTTGATAAAAGGAAAATAATGAGAAGTCAGTAAAGATTTAGCAGTCCCTTGTTATGATCCAAGTAAAGCTAACTAACTGGAAAACACCACTAACCCGTGCAATGTATTGCTCAGCATCAGTTCGTTTGAGAAAGTGCATAAGTGCAATGAATGATGAGCAAAATTGGCAGATTTATCACTGAGAATTATTCCACTACCTAAATCATCAAGCACCCTTACCTTGATGTAGGGATCTTTTGGAGGCACCATATCCTGGCAAACCAAGAACATTGGCCATTGCAATCTAGTTAACAGTGACAGATGCTTTATAATGCTATTTGAGCGAGAATAAAATCTGTATGGTGGAAGACCAATCAATTCTTGTTTAATTACATTGCAGTTACTTGCTTAAATACAGTTTAAGGCTTATCGGTTCTATGTAACACCAAGCCACCAACAACAGAATCATATTCTAAAGGGTTCTACTTTTAAATTTTAATCAAAGGTTTGCATTGAGTTAACCCTAGAATAAGTTCTTAGAAGTGTTTAATTCATAAGAGAAGCCCTTACCACATTCACATCAAGGCTCAGTTGTGACATGTATAATTTCAAAGACTTAGAATGATCTTTGAAATACTGTTCCTCTGAGTTACTGAACTTCTCCTGAATTTCACGTGGAAGTTCATGAAGCAACCCTACTTTCCACGCCATGTCTCTTATAATTTCTGCACGAGTGTACCTGTATAAAAATTAGCAGGTGATGGTAAGAAACTGCATCATAACATGTACACTAGCAAGAATCAGTTTCTTTAGGAAATGACAACAAAATGTGCAAGAAACTCACACATATGCCATTAGGCAACGCTTGTTGCGAATTAGAGAAATGTGGTGGATGAGTGATCCATAGTGGTCTGCATTTTTGGCTGTTTGGACTTCCAGTCCCTCCTCTTGCATTTTCCTATATAGCGTATATCACGTTAAGGGGCTAAAATATTTGTGCAGATAAAATTTGGTACTAAACTCTAAACCGAACCAAACTCCCCAAAATAAAATAAATAAGGCATCCTAGGGATACACTGTACAGTCATGGTACAACAAAAACTTTGGAGTTTGCTTCCACTTTTCAATCTCTAGCTCTAGCACCATCAATTGTTACCATTTGTATCCATTTTTTAAGAAAGTTTCAAACTATACATAATTAAACCTCTAGGAGGTGCTAGGAAACACTTGAAGCATAGAGATTAACTCAGATGCTGGTCCATTGACTATAGAATTGACAAAGCAGCAGCACCAAGTTTCAGGAGATGTAGTTACAAGAAGAGGGGAAAGAGGAAGGACAAACAAAAACAAAAGGTTAAAGAAGCAAAATAGCAACAAGGAATTACCTTATTAATGATTGAAGTGCACTATGATGCTCATTACATTCTTCAATTACTCGCTCAAACAGCTCATTCTGCAATATCGCATCCCATAAAACAATAAGATAAAAAACATCCAGCTCACATCAACTTAAACACAGCTTTGACAGCATATCAAGAAGGGGAAAAAAGGTGGATGCATTCTAGAAATGAAACCTTTTCAAGGAAAATCCACGTAAAAAATTATTAAACAAGTATTCTCTCAGTATTTCAAGTAGCGAACAGAAAATTTTCTCAAAATTTGAGCGTGAGTGCTGGTAATGGTAGGGTGCGTCAGAATGCAAAAAAAATATAAAAAAATTGAAATTTGCACTGAATGCGTAAATAACATATATATATATAATACTAAATTGCTAAGAATTTTCAATATAAAAAACTTAACCCTCAATAATCTTACAGAATTAACGGTACTTTGGGAAATAAACAGCCAATCTTCACATATATTAGAACTTAAGCAATGAACCCACCAAGCAATTTTCCAATAATATCATAACAACTAGAATTGTTCATCTTTGAAGCATTTAAAAGTGAAATAAAAAGAGATTCTCGCATAAAAGAGCGCAAGCCAGTAGCCTTACGTTGAAAATCTTGAGATGCCCTTTTTCACCACTGCTAAAATCTTTCACCAGCTCGTATGCCTTTCTTCCGTGCATCTTCTGACGATATAAAAGTCCACCCTTTCAATTATATACTTTACCTTCAAAAACGAAACTTTCTTTGAGACATTTCGCCGAACAGCTTGCACAAAATTTTCCCCTTTAAGCTATATATAAAATTGAGCAGTCATCTAAAAGTCTGGAAAACAGTAAAAATGTGGTTATGAAGGAAATGGAGTTTAGGAGTGTTTGAGAGATGAGAAAGTGGAGATAAATACAAAGTTCTCTTGGGATGTAAATTCTAAAAGCATGGTGGAGATTTTGGCGGGTCGTTTTTTAATTTCTAAAATTAGCGTCAGTGGGGGCGTTTTTAACTTTGCGCTTTAATATGTTTCGGCCCTATTGTTAATACATTGATCGTTTTTTGGCCCAATACCCCAAGAGGGTCAATTATTTAGGATATAGGGCCTATCCATATTTTATTTTGGAAAATACTGCATTTGCTACAGTGCACTAGGGACTCGTCATGTTGAGGTGGCGAGTTTCCTCAAATATTATTTTTTAAATGGTCCCAGAGTAGTGGGCCCTCACTGGGCTACTATTTTATTGTCGTTAATATTATTTTTATTTTTTAAAATAAAAATAAATTTTATAAATTAAAAAATAGATGAAACTCATCACCTCGAGGTGACGAGTATTTTAAATTCAAAAAAACTATTCATTTTGTAAGCGTTGGTCAACGGGCAGACGTGCAACGGTCAGCAACAGTCACTTGAAACTCGTTACCTCGAGGTGATGAGGTGGTGATTTAGACCGGATAAAATTTTTTAAAAAAAAAATAAAAGAAAAATAATTTTATTTATATTTTAAAATATATAAAGTAAATAAAAATTTATCTATATTTCCTAAGTTCTTGACGATGCCGAGGAATTGTCGAATGATAATGGTGCGGGGCTCGTTGAGTACGCCGGGATCATAGGCATTGATCGTCGTCGTTGTCGTCTCCCCAAGGAGGTGTACTTAACACATCTGAGATCCAACTTCGAAATGCAATTATGGGTTTATTGTATTTGACGTCATCATTGTCATAACTAGTTCAACTTGGCTACTACTTTGGTGATCATATAGGATATGATCCCACTCACCTACAATCGTGTGTTCACTCGAATATGCTTGAGTGTATTGTGGTGCATCCCATGACCCTCCAACCCAAGGCGATCAAGCCTCGATTGAAGTATAAAATGGAGAATATAAACTGAAATTAACTTGAGATGCATAATAGTACTCTTTAGCTGCAGATGTTGAAGCGAAAGAAGATGATGACGATGTTTTCTTCTTGGACTTGGACTTGGCGTATGTGACCTGATGATGTTGTCATTATCTCTTCTTTTCCGGTGTCGTGAGATATGGTTTCTCATTTGCTTCGTAATTTAGGAGATAGGGAGAATAGTCAAAATCTAGGTCCAGTGGTATAATGTCGTGACACGAGGGAGCGATAGTTCACATTGATTCCATAGCTCGATGTAAGTGTGTCTCACTAGCCAATTTTCGTTATGTTTACCACATGTATCGATTGTATGGAGCGCGTCCATATCAACCATTTACGTAGGAATCGGCTGGTGTGACGCAAAATGTCGCATCACTCTATCAACGTCTTGCCACTCAATAATCACATAATGCAATAACAACGTCACAACACA